GGACGTGGGAGAGGGAGAAGCAGGCTTCCCACGGAGCAGGGAGCCCGATGTGGGGCTCGATCCCAGGACCCTGGGACCATGACCTGAGCCAAAGGCAGAGGCTTAACCACTGAGCCACCCAGACGCCCCTGTTAATTCTACTCCAAATGTATACACATGTGCTGCAAGAGATGGGTTTGAAGAAGATGTTCCTAGAAACATAATTCCTAGTATCCCCAAACTGGAATAATCCAAAAGCTCATCAACAGAAGGACAATACACTGATGAGATAAAATACTGCACACCAATGGAAGCTCTTAAACCACGACACAGGTGAATCTCAAAAACTTAAGTCTGCCCCCAAAGGATGTTTATGACTCCATTTATGCAACGTTCCAGCATAGTTTAAACTATAGTGTTCAAAGTCATGACACTTGCTTCACTTTGGGGAGGTGGAGGTGTGGGTAATTGGGGGAAATAAAAAGGGAGTTTCTAGGATATTTAAGTTTTTTGTTTTGGTTTTTGGTTTTGACTGGGCGGTGGTTAGATCAGTATTGTGTTCCTTTATTTTCCACACTTTTCTGTTGCATGGGCCTTTCCGCAATTCAGGAAAAAAAAGTTCTCAGCCTTGGTTTTCTTTTAGAATCTCATTTAAATCCAGTGACTAGCCTGCATCTGGGAAGTTACTTGTGCTGAGTTCTTAAAATACAAACTTCTGGAAGCCTTGACATCTGACCCACAGCTAATGGCCTCATTTGAAGCTCTTGGTACAGGAGAGGTCCAGATCTGTATTTTCTGTGGCCAATTAATAAGATAAATTCCACTTCTCTAATTTCAGGAGAAATAAAAAGGAACTATAAGATCTTTCTGGATTCTTAATAACCACTTTAATGAGGTACATGGACGTACAAAAAACTACATATTTAATATGTACAACTTGATGAGTTTGGAGATCAGTATGTGCTCCTAAAATCATCACCACAATCTATACCATAAACTTAACCCATCACCTCCAAAAGTTTCCTCCTAACACCGTAATTGGTTGCTGCCTTGTGAAAAAATAATTTAAGTCAATTCAGTGCAGTGAATTAGACTTGTTAAGTATTGTGGTAATTTGGTTATCAGCTGATTACTTTGTTCCTGTGTGAACTGAAGAAAATCTATGCTTTTCTTACAGAGGGTTTGGCCAGAGAGTACCTGAGTATTTGCTTCCTACCTAATTCTGAAAAGTTTAATAATCGTTAGAATCCTATGCCTTGAAATGTGTTAAATATTAGCACCTGAATGTGAAGTCACTTTCCACAATTCTGTTTTGGAGTGTTTTCAAGATACATTTTTACTCTAGAAAACTTAAGACATTCCTGGCCACCACCTCTCAAGAAAAAAAAAAAGTTTGTAATTCCTCTAATGTAGTTCAGGAAATGGTTGACTTCTATTTTGACCAAAAAGAAAGACATCTTTCACTTAGAATGAAGAAAACTAAGGAAGTTCAAATTAAAACAAAAATCCTAAAAGCCATGTTAATGGTTAACTCTGTTTAGTGATCAACTGAGTGAATTCTCAAAAGATCTTTTATTGAAAATTGAGCGTGTCAATAAAAGGAAATTATATTCTTCATCAGAAAGTTATAAACTACATCATTCCCCAAGTACAGGCTGAAAAATAGTCATAGGTTTCCTTAAGAATTGCAATAAATTAATGGATTTACTTCCAAAAAAATTGCTTCCATTTTAATGGGCATATTGATCCTTATCAAATTGCTTTTTTTAAGATTTATTTTTTTTAGAGTGTGAGCACGTGGTGGGGGGTGGTTGGGCAGGGGGTAAGAGGGGCAGAGGAAGAGGAAGAGAAAATCTCAAGCAGACTCCCCACTGAGCACGGTGCTCATAGAGGAGAGCGTCCATATAGGGGACATAGTCTCTAGGGTCAGCCCAGTTTTCATCCCTTCTAGGAAGCCATCTTGGGATCAGCTTTATCCCAGGATGCTCCTATGTATTTCTATAATACCCGACCAATCCATTTGTTAAACTGAACCATACTTGGTTTGGTGTCCTTTTGTTGCCATCTTGAAATACTTAATTTTTAAACAAAGGGCCCTGCTTTTTCATCTTACACTGGGCCCTGTAAGTTCTGTAGCCTACCCTAACTACCCTAACTAGAAGTATGTGTAGGTGACCTGTTTCCTCACTCAACCAAGAGCTTCTAAAGACTTGAGCTGTGCCCTCTTTGTTTTTTAATTGCATCTTATAAAACAGTGTCCCATAGGGGGTACTCAATAAATGTTTGCTGAAATGAATAATGACAGAACAAATCTTCCTTTTTTTTTTTTTTTTTTTAAGATTTTATTTATTTGAGAGAGTGCGAGCAGGGGGAAGGAACAGAGGGAGAGGGACAAGCAGATTCCATGCTGAGTGCAGAGCCCAACGCAGGGCTTGATCCCACGACCCTGAGATCATGATAGTTGAAACCAAGAGTCGGACGCTTAACCAACTGAGCCACCCAGGCTCCCCGGAAGAAATCTTCCTTCTAAACTTTATAATTCTGACATTTTAAGAGGTAGTCTGGGATAATAGAAAGCCCTGGTTTGGAGTCAGTCCCATAGATCTGCATGCCAGTTCCTTCTCTGGCACTCGCTAGCAAAATGGGTGACCAAAGAATGTGCTGTCCAAAGTGGGACATTTCTGACCGAAAAGAAAGCGTTAACCAGCCAAGGTGTCAGGGCAACAAACTAGCACCATCCTCAACAAAAACAGGATATGGTCACCCTCTAAGCCACGTAGCCTTCCGTCCATGCTTGGGTTTCTCAATATCTCTGAACCTCAGCTGCTTCATCTGTAAAGTGAATATATTTCCTGCCCTTGCATAGTTGCTTTGGTTGGGATAATCACTGGGCCAAGAGCACCCAAAGAAACAGGATTGGATCATTGACCTTGGACGAGAAGAGGGTCCCCATCTTCCACCAAGAGAAGAGAGCAAGATGGGTGTGGATGCAGGTGGGTTTGTAGACCATACAAGGTATATTTGAGGAGCTCCTCATCTGATGGCCTACGCCAAACTGTTCTTACTTCACCTAGAGTTAAAAGGAAACAAGCACAAGCTCTGGGGACAGTCTTCCAGGTTCAAATACTGGCCCTTCTGTGCATTTCCTGTCTGGCTGTGGACAGGAGACCAATTGTGGGATCTTATGGTCCGGAAGCGCACTATGCTTCAATCCTTTGTAAGATTGAGATCGGGATGGCACTTTGCTCAGAGGGCTCTTGCAAAGATTAAATGTGACTGTGACACAGTGTATGGTCTGTGGACTAGCGCCAGTCCATGAACTATTTGTAACTAGGAAGTTCAAGAAAACTAGAAACACTTCAGCCATTTGACATTGCCATGGCATCCAAACTCTGGACTGGTGGAATCTTGTCCAACAGGCTAGAGACCAATTTGAGTATGGACCTTGCGTGGTGAGGATAATGTGGCCTGAGCTACCCTCTAGCCGTAAGCAGTAGAATCTGTGTTAGTTTGCAATGGACTGAAAATTTTAAATAATTAAATCGGGGCGCCTGGGTGGTTCAGTCGGTTAAGCATCTGCCTTCAGCTCAGGTCATGATCCCAGGGTCCTGGGATGGATTGAGCCCCATGTCCAGCTCCCTGCTCAGCAGGGAGTCTGCTTCTCCCTCTGCCTCTCTCCACCCCACCCCCAGCTTGTGCTCTCTCTTGCTCACTCTCTCTCTCTCAAACAAATAAATAAAATCTTTAAAAAAACAAACAAACTGATTCTTAATCCCAGATAATTG